GGGGGATTAATGAGATGTAGGCTGTGTAGGTATATGTGAGGGATTAATGAGATGTAGGCTGTGTAGATATATGTGAGGGATTAATGAAATGCAGGCTGTGTAGGTTTATGTGGGGGATTAAGAAAACACAGACTTTGATGGGATATTGGGGGGATATTTAGGGGGACATTTAGGGGGTGGTTGAGGAAGAATACTTGTTTATATATGGAGGAGGTATTGTTCAAAGAGAGAGTAAGAGAGATGTGTGTATTGCTGTGGAATTAACTGGCCGCCCGACCATCCGGGTGGTGTCGCACTTATAAAGCGAAAGAACAAAAGGCTTGACTGTGAACCAATGAGAAGGCACTGACGTCATAGCCAAACCGGACAAACGAGTTTCTGGCACCGGCTGGATTTGATTATTCAAAATGGCGGACATGCCTTAATTTAAGGCTATAATATGCTACTTTGCCAAACATTCTTTATATGCACGCTTATGTTCTGTAACGGCTTTGTAATTTATGCTATACATACATACAGTTATATATTAAAATACGCATTCACCTTGTGTATCTTGAGTTACAGTAGCCAGATTAAGCCTCGATTGATGAGGTTCGTTTAAAGTTCTCTCCGCCATCTAATATTACATGTTGCAGCGAAAGGGTAGTTCAAATTCGTCGACAACGTCTACCGTCTACGAATGCCTACGAGCGAAAACAACTTCTGGTGCCTCGCCGCCTAAAGCATCACAATTTTCAATGTTATTCCAACAGATATCATCGTCTCCGCAACATTTAGATTTGAGGGCAATTAAGTAGCGAGATCCCCGACAACTGGAAGCAATTGAAAGAGAAATACTGTAATAATTATTTGGTTTGGAGCGGGAAGCCCCGAGTATCGAGGACGTTATTGGTGACGATGGCCTTTAAGTGTTTAAAGCCTTAACTTATACTGATGAAGAAGATGCAAACGATTGCCATGTAGTAATGGGGAGGATGAAAAGGTATTGCATCGACGAAGTAACGTAAACGAGATTGTTTCGGCAGGAGGGAAAAACTTCCTACCGAAACGCTCGACAACTTTATCGCTGAATTAGAACGAACCTTGACAAAGAGCCGCAAATTATGTGATTTTTTACGGTTTTGAAACCATATTGTCATCTGCGTTCGATTGGTCTTGGGATAAAACACGAGCAAAGCACAAAGCAGCCACCTAGGATGACAGACCCCACGTTAAACAAGTGTATCGGCCTTCCAGCATCCGAGATGCAAATATAGGGATCTTAACAATGACGACGGCCACGCCGAGGACAACGCCTTGTAAAATTGAATTTGTCCAGGATGCCTATGGCTCTAAAACCTCGCTCAGGCTAAATATGTAATGACAGCGTTCGATTCTAAATGGAAAAACGAAAAATTAGTTGTTCAACTCATCGTTCGCGTTCGCGGTCATTTTGCGTTGTTGTTTTGCAGTGGACGGCTATGAAATATAGGTTTACTGAACACACTTGTACAGCCTTTGTTTTGCTCTTTAAACCTTTTGTCTGGTGGTGCCTATTGACGTTATGGTTTACTCCAGACTCCATCCACACTACGCCGAAGGAATTTAAAAACGCATACAGCTTTATATCTACGGTTAGGCCTACGGTCCAGAGTAATACGTCACGAAAATGGAGCTTTTCGAAAACGCTCTTCAAACCGGAGGAATTTGAAAACGCTGGCTTTGAGTTTTCGTGTGGAAGGAAACATTTTAAAACGGACCATTTCGAACACGATAGGATCAGGAGAACCACGTGATTTCCCTGGCCGAGATTTCCTCAAACAAAAATATAAAACGACCGGTGATTGTTGCGTTACTAAATTCCCCCGGTGTACGCAGTGTAGACGACCGGGCCTAAGTTTCCTAGGCTCCTAATGAAGTCAATAATCAGACAGCGTTCTTCAATGAGTCCAAAGAGAAAAAAATTCGGAGGAGGTCCCGCGCAAAGGAGAAATGCACCATAAATAAACACCTTGAACAAAATAAATATTTAGGAGTGGATCTCTTTAAGGACCTCGATCAAGTTTAAGATTCTTTATATGTTTCTAGCATTATCGCGAAGGCTGACCCGGCGAGTAAATAAAGTTTTACTTTACTTACTGGTCTCTTGAATGACCTAATAATGATAACGCATCTTATTAAATCGGTTCCGCAACCATTTCTCATTAAATCAGTTGCTATCAGTTCATGTGGAACCAAGCCGGCTATTCATCTGAGGTCTGCTATAATCCTCTCCCTTCTTGGTTGATAAAAGTTCAGCCAGTGTACTGTGATACCTCTTGCATTCATCCGCCGTTCCTGTAGGCTCGATTTCCAGTCGTTTTGTGAGCCCGCGTTCCTTGTCCCACACGAGGATAAACAACCGGACTCCTAAAACGGCTGGAAATCGAGCCTACCATTCCTCCTGTGGTAGTAAATACCGGTGCAGTATAGGAGCCTTGTTCGACTTCTAGCACCTGCTGGCGTACATACTCTTCTTCTCACTCTCATGCTGGCTGTAGATTTGTTTTGTGGTGAGGCCTCTATAAGACTGCAGGCGGGTAAGAAACCCTAACATCAAAAAAGGCAGAGCCTCGCCACTCCCAGAAGCCACGAGCATGAATGTCAAGCCGGGCATCCGCTGCTCTGTTCGTACGGGTGTCAGCACCTCTCCGTTTATCTCCTGAAGTACCGGATCAATTTGGACGTCATTGCATACCATACTTTAGCATTTCGGCTTCCAAATCACGTAGCGCATTATGTCTTTGAAAAATGAAGCCTCCACGTCTGAACACCATGGTGTGGTCTACATCATAAACATCTCTACACGCACAAGTAGACGGGTTGTCGCTTATTTGCCAATCATATAATAATAATAATAATAATAATAATAATAATGATGATGATGATGATGATGATGATAATGATAATAATAATAATAACGAATATTTTAATAGGATGACCCATGAGTGTATTAAACACTGTTATCACAGGGGTCCTGTAAAAGAAACTGTAGTGAAAATAAGGTAAAAAAAGGCAAAAATGGGCAAAAAAAGACGCACAAAATTAATACAAATGCATTTGTTAAATAGAAATCTTGAAGTTATGGATCTAAATTCGACTACTTGACTTAATTCAACTACATTACTATAATTTGAGAAATAAGGTGAAATCGGAGTCACTTCAAATATAATTATCATGAAACAAGACAATTCTTCAGTTACACTAACCTGTTCAAACCATTTCCAATTTTCCCAAATGGATCACCGGCTCTCCCACCATCTCCGAGCGTCAAGTACAGAAGCCCGTCAGATCCGAAAAACATCATTCCGCCATTGTGATTATCTGCAGGTTGATCCACTTCAAGGATTACAGTCTCTGATCTTTTAAGTCCTCTGTTACGATTGTAAACTGAAGCCTTGAATTCACTCAACACCGTGACATGATCGAAAGCCAGAAAAGGCGCCTTCTTCCTTAACCCCGATCTTCTGCGTAAACGAGTTGAGTAATACACAAAAAATCTATTATTCTTTTTAAACTCTGGATGGAAAGCGATGCCCAAAAAACCTCGCTCATCACCAAACGATCCCGTTGTTAGGACGCGGTCAGTGATATCTAAAAATGGCTGCTTTAACAATTTTCCCTCGGGTGAAATGATGCGAATCAAGCCCGGTTGTTCGGCGATGAACAATCTTCCTGAGCCATCTCCAGCATGTACCGCAGCTAAAGGATTGCGCAATCCGCTCGCGATCTCCTCCACACACAAACACTGCTGGTTCGAATCATAGTTGTATTTTTTGCTAAGATAATTTTGATCGACGGTTTCCACATGTGGGAAACAATAGTCAGCGTCTTCAAGCTTCAATCCATCGCATAACGATTGCTCGGTTAAAATTTCCGACGGAGACGCAGTGATATTTACAGTACTAGATGAAGATCTAAGCTTCCATTTGCCGGTAGACACAAAATGCTTCGCAACATCACTGCATTCCTGGTAAAACTTCTTGCAGAAGTCGAGGCATAAACCCGGCGCTGCTGTTGCTGAGTCAAAATTCTCTTTCGTCTCTGCTTCATAAATGTGAGCTGCATACCGATGGCATTCGAGGCAAAGGATCGTTTTTACTAAGTTAGCGCATTTTGGTCTGTTATCCAGTGAAAACTGTGACGATAACTTGGTATACTCGCTCGAAATTCTCTGATCACGATTAGGTGAACAGCATCCGTAGTCTGAGTAGTTTTGAGGGCAGAAGGAAAGGCCTGATGCTACTTGAAAGGGCGCTCTAAAATCCAAACATTGTGGATGGCCTTCCACTGCCTTTCGGTTGAATACCAGCACTGTGCTACAAAGAACAGCGCAAAATAGCAGGCGAGACGGGCTAACTGCCACCACCATTTTACTGTCTTCGTTCAGAGAATTAATGACATAACAGACAGTAAATAATATAAACAGCTATTGAACGTGACTTTTTATAATTTGCATTTCCGGTTGTAATTGTGGGAGTTCATTTACATGCATGTATGACGGTGACCTACATTCTCGTCCCCAGAGGCCGCGCGAAGAAGCGCGGCCTCTGCGGACGAGAATGCGGTGACCTACCGTTACATACACCCGGTACATACAGCTGCGGCCTGCTAGTGAGGGTTCGCTTACTGGTTTTAAACAAACAAAAAAAAGAGTTGTGTTATGAATTCATGCTGTGACTGCGCGCGCATTCATACGTTTAGGCTTAGTGGAACCGTCTAATTATCGGGGAGATACTGTTTTGTACGGTGAATTGAATTGAAAGCGGACAACCTCGGGACCTGCCGCAGTGTCGACTTATGTAGGTCCCTGGGATGGAGGTTTGTTCGATTGTTCTCTAATAAACTTCTAGATTCCAAGCCCGGGGGAGGGGGGCACTCCCATATATGGGCTATATAGGTATGTGCCGCGGGATAGGGTAGGGTTTTTGAGGCTCTCGATCTCATTTTTGCCCTTGTTGACATTTTGTTCCTGATGTGATCTTTGTTAGATAGGGTACCTAAATTGCATCGGCTAAAATTGCAGTGCATAAATGCCCAGCTAACAAGTGATCCGTTAAAACTGAACTATTTGTATACATCCAAGGTTAAAGAAACGAAATAAAGTTGAGCCGTCCATGCTATTCTTAATTTTTGTTTTTCCCTTCAATAGGGTGTCATTTTTGGGGTTTGGGCCTTAAATAGGATGTTATTTTTCATATCTTTCATCCTTAAATAGGGTCAAAAATTTACGGAAGTCAAACCCCCGGAATTCCAAGTAACCTCAATATTGTTTGTAATATGTCCTTTAACTGTATGGAGTTTTTAATGACTTTTTCACTCAACTCAGCTCCTCCAAGAACGTAATCTATACCGTAAGCGGTCAATGTCTGTTGGTATCAATGACCAATTGCTGATCAGCCGACTAACCTTATTAAACGAACTTTACAAGTCTTCCTATCGATTACGTGACGGTTCGTCTTTCCTTCGACCTCGTTTCCAAACTAAAACACTTCTTGTCACGCAAATCACAGCATGGCGGCAGGCAATGATGGCGAAAGGAGTGAAGGAAATGTGAAATCCTTTCAGGTGGCAGTCATTGGAGCGGGATTAAGTGGTACATGATTGACTCGTTATATGTTTATATTCAATATATATTCATGCATAATGATTTCTGTTCACGCTTTGTTGTTTCCCTCAGGCTTGTTTGCAGCAAGGGTCCTACGGGAATACGGTATTGACGTGGCAGTTTTAGAAGCAAGAGACCGGGTCGGTGGAAGGACGTTTACCGTAACGGTAAGATAGTATATGCACATACAGAGCTGCAACATTACAGACTACAGCTTTATCTAATTTTCGCACATTAGCGCGCGCTTTCGCACATTAGCTTTTGAGATCTTCTCAGAAGGTGTTGATGGTTAAGTGTTGCGGAAGCGGGGTGGTGGGGATAGGGGGGGGGGNGCTGGTCCGTGGGATTGTTGGGGTGGGGTTTGGTAGGGGAACTGAATGTCAGTAAGTGGCACTGCATATCTGAGACCTGACCTTGGCAAAAACTGTTTATTTTGGTACCCCTTCAAAGACAGAAGTTGGGATCAATTACATAACGCAACCTTCAGCATTGGTAAATGACATTTTGCATTGAATTAAGCTTAATCTGACAAGACCTGATCTGCCGCTCAGAACTCAGGTAGATGTGAGCTTAACTTCGAAAAAAATTCTCAAAATTCAGGGCCATAGCTAGTAACAGGGACACCGACTCACATGCCTCAGTAATTTTTGTTTTTGTTTTTGTAGTTTATGGTCGTCACGAACACCCTAAATACCTAGCCTTTCAATCACTCATCAGATATACATTGTATGTCTTAGATGGCTTGCCAAAACGTAATGATCACCAAACGAACTGTCTAATAGATGTGATGCTGGAAATTCATCTTTAAATTCTAGGATCCCAGTTATGGTTTCTGTGATCTGGGTGGTGCATATGTGTGTGAAACTCAGACAAGACTGCTACGACTTGCCAGCCAGCTGGGAGTGGAAACATATCGAGTCTTTGGTCAGGGACAATCTGTTGAGCATTTTCTGGTAAATAGACAATTCAACAAATTTGATATCTTCCCAAGTGATGTTTTGTCTAATTGAATAGATCAGATGGGCTTTGAAGAGATACAATGCATCACAGCT